AAATAAAAGAGATCCCTTGCTAAATAAATTACTCTTATAACCTTGTTATTAGAAGTGTAAGACTGAACCCTTACCTTAAGTTCACATGGGTCAATGTTTTATTTAAAAAAATTAAATATACTTAGCACCTAACCAAAGGTCAATGTGGCCAATGAAACACATGAAATACAAAAACAATCAAGTTTKTACACATTTACACTGTAAAACACATTAAGCGGAATTTAAAAATGTATGCAAACTCATTGCCTCAAAAGAATACATTTTAAAAACATGAAACATCACCAGCTTTATCTACACATAGAACTAAAACTTTGTTCCCATCAAAACATTTTTAAAATTTCAGCAATRAATAAAGTCTGTTTCACAAAGGTTTCAAACTTCTTGAAGGAACAGCAGCAGATGTGGGCTGGAGTGTTTCCTTCTTCCTCAGGGAGAATAGTCAGCTCTCCAACTGTATGGTGGCCAAGGCTGCTTCTTTTCTGGCATCCTACAGCAAAGCAGGTTTTGAAAGCATTACTATAACTTGATTTGTAAAACTCTTAGAAACGGTTAACTACAAATACCTGGGTGGTTTGTCCTTGGTAATTCTTTACCTCATTTGAATTTCTCATGTACRTACTGTATAGAAAGTACACAATAAACCAGAAAACTTTAAAAATGAATTAATTGCAGCATGTTTTAAACCTGAGCAGAAAACTTACAAAGCATGTTTCATAGAACTCTGGAGTCGTTGCCAGTTACCAGATGAAGGCCTTTAAAGACAAGTGGACGGTGCACTGGTCATTCACGCTGGATGTCTTCAGAAACAAAACAGAAAACAATTTACAAGAAATGAAATCTACTGAAAATAAACAATTAAGAAACTGACAGTTTATAAACCTACATCATGGTATCAAAGCTCAAACGGTTGTATCAGAACATAAGGAAAAATTATTACATTACTTCCTCAAATATCATTACCATAYTTGCTTTTTGTTTTTGCAGGCATAACATTGTACTGGGTAATCATCAACAAGAGCTTATAAATAGTTGTGATATGTGTCTTATGTTCTAGACTTCAGTGAGTTTAAAAGAAGTGTAAAATTCCTCTTTGTCTTTGTGATAAATGATAAAAGATCTGACCAAAATAGTTGTTMTTTCAAGTTAACTTTACTGCTGTGACTGACTTACACCACGTAACACACAGCCTTATTGATTCTATGTTGTTTAGTGCAAAATAAGTTTAATTCTATAAATACAAACACATGTTAACTGTAAAGTTAAAAAGGTAGCAACCTTTGGCCTGAAAGTGTAGAGGTCAGAGCGTGGTAAACTTAGGCAATTTTCAAACTGTTAACTACGACAGCACACTACGACTAACAATAACACAGAAAATGATGTACACAAAGAACAAGTACACCAAATAGTTTAACTTAAGGATAAATAACAGCTGATAATGAAAACAATCCCAAGTTATGAGACATGCTCAGAATCAGACATAAGCCTCTTTGGTTAGCAGGCGTGCTAGTAGAGCAGGAAATGGAGTAAAGTTGATCTGAGCATGCCCAAAGGCTTAACTCTTTACAATCCAAAATCACCAACACTTTTTGTGTGCAATCAGCTTAAATATATTAACTCACCAAGCATTTCCTATCCAAAAGTTCACATCATGAGTAAAACCAACAAGATGATAAAAATTAAGTWATGATCATTTACTGGTTCCTCAGGTTTCTGAAGGTAACTTGATCTGTGTTTCTCAGCTGTTTTGTTACTATATGAGGTTATATGATACAGAGAATATTTCATGATAAAAGTATCATAGGATGCAGGCAAGACTGCTGCTCAGTGTGGAAATAGAAGATGAAATAAAGAGAATGGAAGTTTGAGTTTTGATCTCAGAGTTCAGGTTAAAGTCTGGTTTTCAGTCTTCTACCTTCATAAAATACTGATTTTATGTTTTATTCATCTCAAGAATTYAGTCTTCTAACAGCTTCAACTGGCTGGAAAATGCAGAGTTCTTAGTAGATCTTTTATATTTTTTTCTGGGGAKTATAAACACGAACCCCCGGTCCACAGCTGCTGGTTGACATGAACAGGTGTTCCTCATGATGTCAGCAGATGTTGACAGGTAGACGTCAACAATTGGATTTTAATTGGACAACCTGTTTTTTAAAAGATAAAAAATAGTATAAAAAACAAAACTAATTTGTTTTTTAATGCATTRGAAGAGATTTAGAAAACTGCACAAGGGGCAACACCTGAAATCTTGCCTAGGGCTCCAAACTGGCTGGGGCCAGCCCTGCTTCTTATTCTGTAATATGATCTGATAATAACATTACAAAGAGTGCAGCTAAATTAGCTCAACCACCAATGTTTACATTATTTTATTCACCACTGGTTCATCAGAACAAACTCTTCAAGATGAAATCTGTTTCATAAACATTCATATCAAATGATGAATGGAGACTAAATTTTGTGACTCAGTTTATTTCAGATAAGATCAATTTAATTTACTTCCATGAGTTCAGAACAGTTCAACAGAGTGAAAGAAAGTTTAGTTTGTCGAGTTGTGCTGGGAGAGTCAGTAAATGTGGATTCCGACATGAACAGAGTCCATGAACGCATCATGAGACCGGGCGGACCMGAAAGGTGAGTTTTGAGACCAGAGCAGACTGGGAAGAGCTCGACACGATCTGAGCTGATCCAGAGCCACACCCGAGGTCCGTGGGACTGACGGCAGTGGTAGAACTCGTGTTCCGGGACAAAACCCCACGGAGAGACCACCAATATCATCGTCCTCATTCCTCAGGCAGCAGGTGAGTTGTTTACCTGTAATCGACAAATCGGAAGAGGAGAAACAACAGGTTAGCAGGTGTACKAGCCGTTTCGCTCCGCATTAAAACAGCGTGAGTCATCGGCTTTGAAATAAACGATCTGTGGACAGAAATTGGTTTCAGTCAGAGGCTGTAATCTGTTATAGGAGGTGACGTCATCGTGTTTACACCTGTCCAAGATTTCCGCTACAGCTAATAAACTTTAAAAACACAGACCTGGGTCTAACTCAGCCAGTTTGACAGAAACTGAGCTAAAACCAGGAGTGGTGTAAGTTACTAAGAGCTAACTGATGACGTCATAGAGGTTGTGTCTGAAACTTTCTGTGAAGTCCTCCTGTTTTCAGTCCATCATCCTGTTTTCAGTCCATCATCCTGTTTTCAGTCCATCATCCTGTTTTTAGTCCATCATCCTGTTTTTAGTCCATCATCCTGTTTTCAGTCCATCATCCTGTTTTCAGTCCATCCTTTCTGAATCTTAATGAATAAGTGAATTGTTGTATCCGACAGCTCTTGGGCCAGTTGTTGGTCTGTCATTATTAATTAATAATTAATGAGTTCTTTGTGTTGTTTCTACAGAGTTCCAGTCCACATGTCTTCAGCTGGATTTGGTTCTGCCTCCAGGTTTGATCGGGTCAGGGAAATGCCACTCTATGACCAGGTCCCAGACTTTGACCCCCCACCATTGTACCCGTATGGGACGGTTCCAGCAGGCAGCTCAGACCCCCTTCCTCCTCCTCCCCCTCTACCCGTACACCCAGCTGTTGGACCTGAGTCCTTCTATCCCCCCAGTGACCATGAGCCCATGGAGGATGACTGCGATGCCATGGACATCAAACCAGTTCATCGCTTCATCCCAGACTCTGTCAAGAACTTCTTCCGTAGGGGGAGCAGCAGGGCTCAGTCAGCATCKTCTGCTCCCTCGTCCAAAAAGGGGACCAACGGACAGACCACAGGGGGGGTCCCCTGCTCACCCCCCAACTCCGCCCCTCCCTCTCCTTCGCTCCCCGGCTCCTATCGGGACCCGTATGGTGGTTCTGGAGGCAGCTACCTTTCTAAAAAGGAGCAGGATGGACTATTGCTGGGTACTGAAGCGATGGATTTAACCTCCCCGGTCCCCAGTAACCGGTCAACCCAGACTTACCAGGAGCGGGTGGAGGAGTACCATCAGCGCTACGCCTACATGAAGTCCTGGGCCGGTCTGCTGAGGATTCTGGGTTGTGTTCAGCTGCTGCTGGGAGCGGCTGTGTTCGCCTGTGTCTGTGCTTACGTTCATAAGGATAACGAATGGTTCAACATGTTCGGCTACTCCAGTCCGCAGATGTACGGAGGGCTGGGTGGAGGTGCGTATGGAGGTGCGTATGGATACGGGGACATGTACTACTACACAGGTCCAAAGACTCCTTTTGTCCTGACCGTGGCCGGCCTGGCATGGATCGTGACTGTGATCCTGCTTGTCCTCGGGATGTCCCTGTACTACCGAACCATCCTGCTGGACTCGTCCTGGTGGCCCCTCACTGAGTGCTCCATCAACCTGGTGCTGGCTGTGCTCTACCTGGCAGCAGGGATTGTGTACGTGAGGGACACCACCCGGGGGGGTCTGTGCTACGCACCCGTCTTCAACAATGGAGTCAACGGGGCGTTCTGTCGCACGGAGGCCGGGCAGATAGCAGCCATTGTGTTTCTCTTCCTCACAACCGTGCTGTACTTCATCAGCGCAGGAGTCTGTCTGAAGCTGTGGAGGCACGAAGCAGCGAGGATGAGGAAGGAGGCGCTCAATCAGGAGGTCTGACACCAACACGTCTGTCTTTTTTAAATGACGTTTGTTTTGAACCACAACTCAAACATTAGAACTAAACAAATGCAGGTCGTTTCGTACCTCTGCCAAACTGCAGCCCTGCCTCATGCTCTGCAAGTGTGTTTAGTGAGTAGAGTATAAAACTTTTTCATTTAGTGTGGTCCCMTCCTCCTGAGAGCTTCTCCAACTTGGGCGGTATTGGTAAAAAAAAATTGATCACGTTTAATTGTGGTATTTACTCGATAACGATTAATATGACGATTAATCCCCTGGAGTCCCTGGACCCCTGCATGTCTTGGTCACATGACCAGTTTAAATCACTCTAGTGGGAAAAATTTGCTCTTCATAAAAATCTGTTCCAAATTGTGTAAAAAGTAGACTTCAGGCTATACATCAATTTTGAAATTGTGTTGATAGACCAAGTAAAACCAGAGTTATGATGAATAAATTACAGATTTTTTAAAAAAGTCTGTTATATTTAGGGATGTTGACGTGTCGTCAGCAGCAGCTGCCATTTTCTTCCCAAACTGCTGTGGTCAGATTTTGCGAGGCTGTTCGGTGCGTTTACTTGTAATTTCCTCCTGCTTTGTTATTTGTACGAGTTTCAACAAACCGTGCTGACATCAGGTAGTTAGCTACAGCCTCATCTTCCAGTTTTTAAGTTTTGTTGATGCGTTTTGAAGAGACTTTTTTTTTGAAAAGCCGATCAAAGTAAATCACCTGAGTTTTTCTAGTGACCCCTCAAAGAGATAAGCTGCCATGAAGAACATCATTTTATCTGCCCATGTTCCAAGTTTGATAATGATTTGAAACATCAAAGTGTTTTTTTTAATCCGGAACAGCGCTTGTTGCAAAGTGTTTTGATGCTCGTCTTCGTCACATGACACATTTCACACTCTGTCATTGGTTGAGGAG